ATAGTTCTGGTGATTGACCATAACAAAAATCTTACAGATTTTAGTAATGATTTTCATTTTTTTAAATATCCTTTTGCATTTTGTATTGTAGCTACATTTTAAAATATTTTCTCTTCTTTTTAAGTTATTCATTTTGAGTTGATTTCTTTTCCTCCAGCATATTTTTATTCTGCCGTGGCATCGTTTTAAACCTCAAGAGTCCTGCAGTCCAATCCTTTGTTTCCACAAAATTAATTGACTGAGTTCAATGCTATTAAACAAATTAATTTAAATGAGCTTAAATGACTGCAGTCTGTGCTGCTCTCATATCACAGCAAACTGTAATGTGGTTTCTTCCTTTCCATATTAGTAACATATGAGAAAAGGGCTAGTGAATATATTATGATTTGTTTTCAAGTACTATATTAAAATTTGAAACTATGCGTTGTTCTTGGTTCACTGATTGCAGGATTTGTTTGTCTTGTGGATTAACATATGATATGATTTCTGAATTATTCTTTTTGTTTTGTGCCCAGTTATGGGCTCAATTGTCTTAATAGAGCTGCCTGCTAGACTTTGTAAAGTTTCAATGCAACTGTTGAATTCAAAGATGATTTAATCAAACTGCATTTCTGAAATCATTCCAAGACTCATTTGAAACAGTGCATAGATGCACATACGTTTTGCTCAACAGATATTTTTTACATTATGTGACTTGTCTCTTTGAATCAAATTAACAGTTGCTGAAGATTTCAATTTCGTTTGGGATCCATTATCCGACAGGAATAAGGCTTCAAAAAACACTAGTCCCCAGTCAGCTCTTAAGAGCCCTTGAATCAAATTGTAGATGTGAATCACCTCTTAAGCTAGTCATGCGCCTAACTTGCAGATTATTTTCATGGATGGAGAAACTGAATGAAGTCTTGCAGTTGTGGCAACATCAAGGAAGGTATCATGGAAAGAGAAGGCAAAGCATGTTCATGAGAAAAAGCACATACTTTCTGTTGTTTTTTTAGCAGTAGACTTATATACCGCTTCATAGGCCTTTCAGGCCTCTCTAAGCGGTTTACAGAGAGTCAGCATATTGCCCCCAACAATCTGGNAGAGGTCAGAGCTATGATTGTTCTGTGTCTCCAGATATGACGAAGTATGCCACACCACCAAAATACCAGTCCAGTTGGTTTCAGTATGAGGAACTATGTTGTTCTTTCTGCAGCAGACTCTCTGGGACTCTCTGGCACTGAACTACAAGGAAGTTGTAGTTAAGTTGATTCTGAAGAAGGTTAAAGTGTGCGTGTTGATTTTACAACAACAGACACGACCTTTTATCGATTATGTCTTGCACAATTCCACTCTGTTATTACAAAATGTTCTGTGATTTCTGTGCGGGATTATCACAGCAGGAACAGCAAAGTAGCATATTTTGATTTCAAAATGTGCTTCAATGCTCCTGTGGATTCAATTAGTTCAGTTTCCCCGACCATGCCCATGCAGAGTCTCTACTGAAATTTAACAGGTAGAAGTCAACACAGCCTTCCCTATGGACCCTCCTAGCTACATTCACCTGGTATTTAAATGCTTGGTCTCCAAGCTTTTAGAAAGAGTAGGTCACCAGCACCCAGAAGACCAGTCCTGCTTAGTGTGACATAAAGGTGCCATGGTAAGTCTTTTTTCCAAGTCTTCTTTTTGGGTAACGGCACATGGCTGCAATGATACCAGGATAATTAATAAATTAAGCAATTGGAGGGAGGGGATGACTAGAAAGAAGCTCTTTCTCACATAATGTTAATACTCACCATAAAATAACACAACTTAGTGGAAAGTATGCATATGTAATGTTATATTTACACAGGACATTCACAAGAATTTCTCTGCCCCCCCTTCCTTCCTTCCTTCCTTCCTTCCTTCCTTCCTTCCTTCCTTCCTTTCTTTCTTTCTTTCTTTCTTTCTTTCTTCTTTCTCTCCCTCCCTCCCTCCCTCTCTCCCTCTCTCTCTCTCTCCCTCTCTCTAGTATGGATTTATCAACTCCTGCCTGAAGTCCCTTCTGATTGAGAAATTTGGCGAAGAAACATGGGAAAAGCTCAAGTAAATATTTATAACCTCACAGCATTAAAGCAAGACCATGGAACCAAGGAGATAGCTGCATTCCAGATGATTTGTTGATTTTGATTTATTTGTATTGTTAGCCGCCCAGAGTCCTACGGGATTGGGCAGCATACAAATGCTATTAAATTTTGAAACTTTGAAACTTTGATGGGTTGGGTACATTCAGGACAAGAGTCTGTGCTTCAGGTTAAGAGCAGGGTATAATCCACGAACATTTCTGCCACAAACCATTTATTATCTATTGCTACAAGTCTCTTTGATATTTAAGCTGATTTTATGATTGCCCCACTAAATTCCAAAACCTAGCAGGGCATAGCAATGCTTTTGGTTAAAGGATTTAATTAAAAAAAAAAGATTTTCAGACATCTCTACCCAGTTAACTGAGTACAAGTAGCCCTTGACGTACAACCACAATTGAGCCCAAAATGTTGGTTGTTAAGTGAGACATTGGTTAAGTGAGTTTGCCTCATTTTATGACCTTTCTTGTCACAGTTGTTAAGCGAATCACTGCAGTTGTTCAGTTGGTAACACAGTTGTTAAGGGAATGTGGCTTCCCTATTGATTTTGCTTGTAGCAAAAGGGGATCACATGACGTTGAGACATAGCAACGGTCATAAGTATGAACCAGTTGCCAAGCATCTGAAGTATGATCAAATGATGGGGCTGCTACAAAGATGGTAAGCGTGAAAAATGGTCATAAGTCATTTTTTTTCCAGTGGCATTGTAAAGATCAGTAAATGAACTGTTGTAAGTTGATGCGGTGTAAGGGATCAGTAGCTAAGATACTGAGCTTGTCAATCAGAAAGGTCAGCAGTTTGGCAGTTTGAATCCCTAGCGCCGCATAACGGAGTGAGCTCCTATTACTTGTCCCAGCTTCTGTCAACCTAGCAGTTTGAAAGCA